AACTTTGAAGAGCGATCTACTCCAAGTTTTGAAGCAAGAGTGGGCGCAAATCCCACAATCTAAAATTGACGAGATTATTTTCAAGATGCCCCAAAGGATCAAAGAACTCCACGAAGTGAAAGGAAGATCTACTAGATATTAATTAAATTATATATATATCAATTCATGTGAATATGACTGAAAAATTTATTTTTTTCTGAAAAGGTGGTGTCTATTTACTTGTGACCACACTGTGTATATATGTGTGTGTGTGTATTTTTTCATTTATGTTACAGAAATATGTTACTATATTTTTAATATTTTTAGGCCACTGATAAAAAGATCAAACAAGCTTTCTCTAAATTTGGAAATATCACAGAAATAACCATTCCTAAGAAAGAAGGTAATGTTTAGCTTTATCTTATATATAACTGTTTAATATTAGAAATTTTCATGTTCGTTCTTATTCAAGGAAGTTGTTCTCTCCACTTTTTGCAGTATGCAAATTTATATGTACACAATCATCACAAATCTCTTTATATAAGAACCAGAAGAGTTATCTAAGTCACATTTTTTAAATTGAACCTCAAGTTCTGAAATAGAGATCACCTGTATCTTTTCTGAACTTAAACTTTGAGTATTGAAAAATATTCATATATAAATATGTATTTGTAAAGTGGACTGCACATTTACAACTTATCTTTCTCTCCTCTTTTATTTATTGAGATTAATATACTGCATTTAATTTTGTAGTTTTTATTTTTAAAGCATATAATATATAACTTTTGTTTTAGTCTTGAAAAGTATGGTATTAACCACATAACAGTTTGAAATTTTGTACTACCATGAAGAAAGGTTATTCTTATTTGTACTTCCCAAAATTTACCAGTTTTGTGTTTCAAATAAGTAATGAAATATTTATACCTGCATTTTTGTTTTATTATGTATCTAAAAATACACCTAGCAGTGAAAGTGTTAAACAAAAATTAATCCCACAATACAATAATATTTCCATCAAGGGCATAGGATGACTTCATAGGTTAATGATGCACTGGGAAATTAGCTGCACCCATGATTGGAAAAAATAAGTGGGAGCACTTGACTTCTGAAAACTGTTAGGTTTAAAAGTGCTCTAAAATGAAATCTGAGGCTCTTCTTAACTTAGAATATGTTGAAATGAAACTAATATTTTTACCTCAATGTGCTTTTGAGTTCTTCAGAAAAATAGTAAATGCCAAAATAAAAGAAAAAAACCTTTGAAATAAAAGACCAAAACGTTTTTTAATCTTAAAAAATACTACTTCTCCTGAAAAAAGTCAAAAAACATTTTACAGTATTTTGAGTTGTACACCTTTTAACTAAAAGAATTACTTATTAACACTAGTAAATGAAATGTAACTGTCACAAAATTTAGATCTATTGCTATGAATGTAGAATTACAAAAATTCATACATGATAGAAGATCATTCTTTGGAGAGATTAAATTAAATATGAGAACTAAATTTCTCTCCACCTTGCATCGGCTGCTTACCAGGAAGAAAATATTTAGGAGTAATAAGAAGCTTTCCCATTGACCAGAATTGTAGATAAATTATTACCTGAACCAGTGGTGATTCCAAGAAACACATGACTAGTAGTAATATAAAGGGAACTTTCATAATTGTAAAGGGTCTGTTATGGAAATGGAAATATGCTGTCATGGCATTAAAGTATTGAAACAGTTTTGGAAACGGGCACAAATATTGGTAGTGCACAGCACAGACTTTTTGAAAATTAGTAATGCATTTCTATTACCATGCATTATTTTTAGTACACTCCTGATTTACATCTTTGTTGCTGCTTTTATGTAACTAGAATAATTTCATCACATTTATTTTTCCACTCAACAATACAAGTGCATAAAAGTATGTTGTTTTGTTACTGAGCATTGTAATTCCATGCATTTTTTTGTCATTATTTGTCTGTAATGTTTGTATATTTTGATTATGAAAATTCTCAAAATGAAACAAAATTTTGTTTAAAAATAAAATTAACTTTGGAATTAATTATCTGGCTTTTTTTTTCAGATAGGTGCACATCTGATTGAATTTGTACTTTATATTAAAAAATTAACAGGTGGGAATAAAAAGAAATCATAAATTTTGTATCTGTTATCATAATATGAAATTTGTTTTAAATAATGTGAGGTAGTTTTACACATTAAACTTCAGTATATCTTAAAGTATTAGAAATTCAATACCAAATCCAAGACTATTAACGTGTATACATCACCAGTACAGTGAGTGTACATTTGTTGAAGACTACAATTGAACTTAAACTTATTTTTGATAATGTGGAGCAACATTATCAAAACACCTGTTAAACCATAAGTTCATCTGAAAAGCTTATTCTTCAATAATGCTCAAAACAGTATTCAACTATTAAACTTAGAACAAGAAGTGAACTAGAAGTTAAAATGTGTTAAAACATGCCTAGATGGGTAACCCACTCGTTATGGACTCATTGTTTTTACATGCAAGTTTTGATGATGATATTAATTGGGAAATGCAGTCAGTTGCATAATGTTACTGTTTACCAGTAATTGGGCCTGAGATGACCAGGTGGTTCGAATCCCAGTCCCACCAAACATGCTTATCCTGTAGGGGTTTATAATATGATTGTCAATCCCATTATTAGTTGGTGAAAGAGTAGCCCAAGAGTTGGTGGTGGGTAGTAATGAATAGCTGCCTTCCCTCTAGTCTTATCACTGCTAAATTAGGGACGGTTAGCACAGATAGCCCTCGTGTAGCTTTGGGCGAAGTTTAAAACAAACAAACAATACCAGTAATCAATACATTAGTTGGTATCTACCAACCTGAACCATTGTTCTGTGGACCCCTAGACCCATATCAATTGATGGCCTGACAGCCTGGTGAAGTGATGGAAAACTTTTGAAAATGTTAGTTTTTCAATAGTATTTAATAGCTCCTGATGTTATCTTTGGTATGCCCCTTAAGACTCTCAGATCATAGTGGGATTCTTGAAGTTTTTATTACATGTTTTTTATTTCTAGTTTTTTAAAATTTGTCATAATGAACATTATTGGAACTAAACTTTGATAAACATGAGTAGTATGTAATGGTGGCCCTCTAGCTGTTACGCTCACTGGTATTTATCCTCATATTTAGACTTGTTGGTTATATGGAATGTTTAGGGTTTCAAGAGACAAAAGAAATCATGAAATTTATTTATTTTTAATTACTATAACCTGTTAAATATTCATGTTAAACTGCAGTTACAGTTAATAGACAAGTTGGAATGAAATTTCAGCATCAAAAGAGAGTTAATTGTCAGACACAAAAGATATAAGTACGCTACTCAGGAAAAATGTTACTTGTACTATCTTTACAGACAAAATAGGCTTTCTTTATATATAATAACTCATTTTGTATTTTAGTTTCTAGCTTGAATGTTTTAATTGATTTCTTATGTTAAAGTATAAAAATATAAATTATGTTAGTGAAGTAATAAAAGAATAAGTTAATATTATTAAATATCCAGTGATTTAGGGGAAAGAACACTATAATATTCATGTTTATGTAAATACATTATCTTTGCATTACAAAAGGTTTAGACATATACTTAAGTATCTGCTATTAGTCAGGTAAAATTACTCGAATACCTGTTAACTACTCATCCACGTGTCCACATTGACCAACTGTATACTTACTAAGGTGTAACAGAAAGGTGTTTTATTATTATTTACATAACAAAAGTTTTTTTCTTAATTCAAATGTAACTTTGCAAGCTACTTTTTCTTGTATAAGATAAAGATAATCCACTAAAATTATTTACTTTTTGTTTCTATGCTAAAAATGAACTGCTATCATTTTGCAGATGGAAAAATGAAAGGTTTTGCATTTGTGCAGTTTGAGAACACTTCCAGTGCAATTAAAGCTATAAATTCTCTCAATGCAAAAGAATTTTTAGGTAAGTTACACAACGTGTATGAACTTATTTTTAAGTTTCTCATAACTTTTATTTTATTAAAAAAAATTAATTCTTAATTTTATTATAAAAGAGCTTTGTTTTAAAAAAATTAACTAACTTGGATATTTGAAATACACTGCTCAAAACAGTAGAAGGATAAGCAGAATTTATAATATTATAGCTATGACAAGACAAACTACTGTGACATTGTAGCTATGTCAAGAAAAAAATACTATAATATGTTAAGACAAACTACTGTAATACAGTTATGACAAGACGAACTATTGTAATGTTATAGCTATGACAAGATAAAGTACTCTAGTATTATAATTATAAGAAGATGCTCCTCTATTATTATATCTTTGATAAGAAATTACTGTATTATTGGTTATAACAAGACAAACTACTGCATTATGGTAGCTATGAAAAGGCAAGCTACTGTAATATTGTGAATAAGACAAGACAAACATCTGTAATCAAGTAATCTCATTCCACCTGACTTCAGTTCATCTTACTACAATGATGATTCAGTATTGTGTGGATGGGTGTTAGCACACTACATCACACAAAGTTCACTGGCTCAATTGCCATAGTTTTTGTTATGTTAACTGGAAACTGACCAACAGTGTACATGGGCTACTTTGTTTTAGGATTTTGGCCTGTGAAGGGGATGAAAAACAGAGACCCTGAAATACTGAACATTTTCACTTATTTTATACACTTTTGGTTTGCATCATCCATGGTTGACTGACATGATTACCATAATTTTTGTATGGCAACTGGAAACTGCCTGAGGGTGTACATGAGCTATCTTATTTTAGGAGTTTTGTCCAAGAAGGGGGATAAAAAACACTGAAATAGAGTGTATTTCCAATTTTTTTTCATTGACTTTTAGCTTTCAGTCAAAAGACACAACCATTTAATCAATTAAATGAGCCAGCTTTTAGGAATTTAATAACAAAAGAAGGAAGGGGAATATTATGTAATGTTATCCTTTATGTAATTTTTGCTTCCTTTACTCTCTCACTATGGGCTCAGTTCAAAGAACCGATCTCATAACCATTTTGTGTTTGTTATAGTTTTCAAACTATAACTTTTAATAATGTACACATATCTTCACGAAATTTTGCAGATTATCAGTAAACATTACAAGGCTTTAGTACACAAAATATCTTATTTTTTTTATTAAGTTTTAAGACTTTTTAACTAATGATTTGCTTATGCATTTTTTCTTTTTGAATGTTGACTGTCCAACATGCATAGTAATTTTGATTTTAAGATTAAAAATACTATAATGCAACAGAAAATTGTCAAATTTCACGTGTAAAGTCTTTATAACCTAATAACCTCCAGTTAATTATCAAACGTTTTTTTTTCAGAAAATATTTTATATTTTATATGTTATTTTCATTATTGTATCTCTTTATGGGTTTGGTCGATTTGACCAACCTTGTAACCAACATAAAGAATTAGAAAATAGATATAAATTACTCTTTTTTTTCATTCTAGAATGATAACAAATTATAACAAGAAACCACAAATGTTTAGTTTAAATAGCTTAAATCTCATAACATCTATATATATATTTACTTTATTGACCTTTCAGCCAGGTCTAACTAACATTACAGAAGTTGCAATGATGTGGTGCATGTGCAATCATGTTACTACATCCTATAATATAAAACTGGCTTTTACAAAGTAACTTGTCTTTGGTTTGCTCTATTGAACCATTGTTTTGAAAAATACAGTCACATTTTGGTTATGATACATTACATATGCATATATATTATTACTGTTTATAAATAGGTTCTTAAATTTCAGTGATGGTTCTTAAAACATAGAACAGTAATTAAAGAAATATAGAAAACAACGATTGTTTTCTACTTACAAACTTTGTACTTGTTTGCCCACTTGCTATAATTTGCTAAGCCTTGTCTAAGTTTGTACATGGAGGATGTAAAACAAAATAATTTTTTTAGGTTTTATATATGCATTTTGAAATAACCAAATATTATAAATTGCTCTAT